AAATTTCCAAAAATTTGGTGCGACAAAACTAAAGCACATAATTAAGAATTTACATTAAYTGCACAATAATTGTTTGTCCAACGTTTTTAATGATCAGAAGATTGTGGGATATATGTAGTTATTAGCTAAATTGAAAAATATTAGTGCATATTCAGTTGCAGTTCGTTATTCAATACGGTGGGTTGTATGTAAAGTGAAAGATCAATGTCTCGAAATAACATTCCGTTTATTTTAGAGAAAAAATTGTTAAGGACTTTACGAATAGAGAATCGGTTATGACTATGGCAAAAAAGTTTGGAATAAATCATCCTATTGTTTCCCGAATATTAAGCCGATTTCGCAAATCAGGTTCACAGTGCATATTGGTGGAAGGCCGCGGAATATAACCGAACGAGATAATGAGGCAGTCATTCGGGCAACAAAAAATTGCCCTTTTATATTGGCAACATCTATTGTAAGACAATTACGGTTGAATATATTACAGAGATCTACGACTATAATTTGTGAGGATGTAAATAAATTAGACAATGACCAAATGGCAAACTGTACATGAAAGATTCAGATGGTAGGCAGACCGAAGGGACAACGGCTAAATCAACGTTATACCACAGGCACGGTGAAACTTGGTGGAGACAATGTACTAGTGTGGGGTTGTTTTTTAGGGTATGGAATAGGGCCAATTCATCATATAAATAGTATAATGGATAAATTCAAGCACAGATATATTCTCAGAATATTATGCTGCCACATGCTGTAAGAGAAATGCCTAAACACTGCTATTTATGTAAAACAGTGGTTTATTGATAACAGGATTGAGGTTTTGAAGCGACTCGATCTCAATCATATAGAGAACCAATGGGAAATTGTAGATCGAAGAAAATGGAAATTGTAGACGTGATATTTGTACAAGTACATACAAGTAAAGCAAACATGGAAAAGCCTTTCATGCGCCACATCATATAAATTAATTGAGTCCGTGCCTCGTCGATGTGCAGCTGTATTGAAAAATGAGTGATACACAACMAAATATCAAAACACATAAATTTTTCAATCATAAAACCATTTCGTGGAGATTTTTGGAGTTTTTTAAATATGGAATTTTATATATTTTTTAATAAGTTAATTTGTTTAGTTTTTACTAATTCAAATAGAAGAATGAATGAACTAGTTATAAAAATAAAATCATTTATAACATACCTTACGATTTTATTATTTTAAATACCGTCAAGGTAGATTCCGTGCTTTAGTTTTGTCGCACACTGTAAGTGGCTTTGCGAATAACAGGGTATACAAACATTTTTGTTTTGGTGCCAATAATTCTATGCTCGCAAGATGTTGTGTGAGTTCAAAACCTTAAAGCAGCCTTCAGATTTGTATCGATTGATAATAGCCTGAAAAATGTATTCTCAGCGTGTGCTAAAATATCTCCACCGTTTTCAGATGACRTGCAATCTATTTTGATTCAAGTTCTTTTAAATCTATCAGATTTGTTGGACACATATATAGTGGAAATGTGTTAAAAGCGTTTCCAATATTTCAATATTGTTTCCAAAGATGTAGAAAGGTGGTTGTTTATGCACAGCTGTAAGTAAAGTAAAGTAAAACTACCAATTAATTTTGGCAATAAACGTGCAGCTGTGCCTATTGACCGACGAAATTAAACAAGTATTAAAAATAGAATCTACTTGTAGTTAAAGAGAAAGTACTCGGAGAAACAATGGGTTACATGGGTCGATTTAAAAATGGTGGGCTTTCCATTAAATGAACTTCAAACTCATTTATTACACTTTCTTGAAATTCTACTAGAGGACCCGTGCATATTTTCCAAAGATAGTACTACTATTAGTTAGACTAACTCTTAGTTAAGGAGACATAGCATTTGGGTGAAGCAACKTGTGTTAGTTTACAACAAATTGAATCAAAAAGCATTTTGTGTGTTAATAAAGCATTGGATTTTGGGGAAAAAATACTGTTGAATTTGGGCTGTGTGCATCATGGAATGATCACTGAGCCAGTTTTAATCCATGACAATGCCTGTTTGGTCGCAGTTCTATTTCACCATTCCCAATATTTAGCAATTTTATTATTTTTTAGGAAGGATAGGTTAGAAATTATTAATTATTAATTTCAAATGCAATTTTTGTATCTATAAGTTGTATTGAATTTAACATAAACAGAAAAAAAAAATCGTTCCTGGTTCTAAGCTACCCCCCACCAATTTTAAGCTAAATCGGTCCAGCCGTTCATGAGTTATAAATTGCGTAACTAACACGACTTTATTTTATATACTTGTATGTGTGTGTATATAGATGTGTTAAAATAGATCATTATAAAATTGTCTAGTATCCAGTGTTAATTAAAGTATAATGCGATTAGTAACTCCTTATCTCCCTATCCTCCCTTTTTGCATTAAAACGCGTTTATTTTGTAAACATGTTTTTTCAGTTATTTACGGAATACGTAAGATTTGCGTCATCGTCGAATAACCATGCGAGTTTTTGCTCACTATAACACTTAACACTTTCATTCAACTTAAAAGCGTTSTTTTCATATTTTAAAAGTGGCAAAGCACCCGTTAGAGTTACATAAATATAAATAAGTACATATTAGAGCGGGTTAGTTTTTTTCAAATTCGCTTTAAAAAATTGTTTATTGTTATTAACATTCTTCAAGTGCATTATTCGATCCTTGCAAACGAACCCTCTCTAATAGAGACATGTACTAATATACACACATATGTGGTACAAAAGGTAAAGACATGTATTTCCAGTGAGGTTTTATTTATTCATTTTTGTGCTTTTGTGAGTATGCGTGTTTGTAGCTTAGTGCCCAATCGTGATATCCATTTAGCCTTTGAGTTGTAAATCTGTCGTTCTTTCAGACCTGAAAGTTCACGTCCATCAAAAGTCACATGAACTCATTCCATCTATGCTTGTGTTTTAGTACATACTGTGTTTGTGTGTGTTTAATTGAGATTTTCAAATGATTTATTTACATTTTGAGCTTTTGTTGAAATTTCGCCTTCAGCGATTTTTTACACAGGACATGTGTATGTAACAAACGGCGCCTGCCTCCATCCACCTACACGCATCCAGTTGTAGTGCGCCTATAAGCACACTATACTCGTATCTTACTCGGCTGTTTATTTGCGTAAATTTTAATGAGCTCTTATTTTTCTAACAATCGTTAGTGTTGCTGTTGTTACAAATACCTATGTACATTGTTATTTCGTTGTTCATATTGCTCTTGCCCTCTTTCGCTGTTTCGTTCTCTCTTATGGCCCTCGTAGACATTGTTTTTATTTATAGGAGCTTCAATTGATGCTCAACTCTTTTCGATTGTGTGGATATGTGCATAACATGTGCAGCGGACTTTTCTGCTCTTTGCGTCGCTGCACTCGGCACAACTTATTATTATGATTCGAACGACAAAACATATTGAGCATCCTGGTACCTCTGCAGCGTGTTAGTGAGAGTTGCTGTACCTTCGCGTTTTGTTTTTCTCCAATTGCCTGTCAACAAATTTGACAGCCTTTTTAGTCAACTAAACGTTTCACTTATGTACATTATTACTCGTGTTTTTACTTTTTCAACGACTTTGTACGGCTTTTGTTGACAACTTCCTCCTTSCGATTGATCGTCTGTTTCTTGGTTGTAAACATAGATCTAAGTCTCATCGCCAGTTATACTACGCTTCATGGCATACTGATAGTTGGAAAGTATTGCTTCACAATGTTTACGCAACGCTCTTTTTTCGAAAAAATTTTGTGACTTTGGAACCAATAGTGGTTTCACTTTTCTTAGGTCCAAATGATCTCTCAAAATGGTTTTTACTGATCCTTCCGATATTCCAACGATGCCAATAAGAAATCTGTCTCTTAATCGTCGATCTCAAGCGCCAATTTCTTTATTGTATTGACATGTTAACTATCACTTCGACTTTCTTTGAATAATTTGTTTTTCTTTGTATCATTTGTTCGTGACAAAAAATTATCACAAAAGGCTTTTTCCAACATTCTGAACACCAGAAAATTTATTCCGAATTTGAATAATTTTACTCATCGTAAAAATCGCCGAATTTTCGGATAATATAAATTGATCTTACATACATACATATATCTAGGACAACAAAACCACTGTAAAAGAGTGTAAGCGTTACAATAGARTAAGAAGCGTGAAGTTCTCCTTTACTTTAGGGCAGAAAGAAGTTGATTAGAACAATAAATATTACATAAAGTCTAAACTTCCCACTTATAAAATAGGGAACAGCAGTAATTTTTAAAATATATACTTATCATACAATATTTTTGTATACATATATACATATATATATGTATATACATATAAGCATATAAGGTGTTGGTATACTTTCAAGTTGGTATCGTCTGTATGTGGGGGGTTGCATATATTTTAGTCATACGTTTGCTTACCAGTACACAGGGTACTTGAGTCAAACTTGAAGTGGCACTAATTTTTGTGTTAACTCGTACTTGAGTAGCGGYCTTATGTGGACTGGAATGCATRTSTGTGGCACGATGCAAAAATAGACATTACCGAAAATATAACAACGGTAGCTTCCAAATGCAACAAATTATAAATSCGGNTTCTAAAATAAAATGGAAAATARTTGCTTAAATTTGTTCATGCATAAGTGCAATGCGTACTATAGTGACAACTGCTTGCTAATTGTCAAGGGGAAATTCTACTTTGACTCCTTTTTTGTTCTATTTACGAAAATATGAAGGACGCTGCTTAAGCATACTCTCAAGCGAGTATAGCTCTTCATTGAAATAATGTATTTTGACAGTGCATAACGGCGAAGCGATAATGATCTATGTATGTTTAAGCCGAAGTTCAGTCAAACACATAATATACAAGGTGCGTTCCAAAGTGAAGAGGACTTAAAAAAAACAGAGCATATTTACATATGTATATATTCGCATATAACTTTCTAACAAYACAAGTCAAATGACAACCAAATGTAAATTTGTATTTTTTCAGCACTCTACGAAATTACAGAATGCCATATAATTGAAAGCAAAACTGCAATAAAAGACAAAAGTTAACCGAAGGACGGTCTAGGTTCTAACCGTTGTAGACAAACAGTAAATTAAAGGAAGCGAACACATTCATATGAGCAAGGATGGGCGTGCTGCTGCAAACAGTATATACGGCAAAAAGTAAGTTAGATATCAAGAAGTATATAATATGCTATAATAAACATGATATATAAGTGTGTRTATGAAATACTCTTGTTCTTTATTACACATACCCATCAGCGAAAAATGCTGATTTAAGCGACTTTAGAAATGGCTTACCATGCTTGTCAAACTAGTCAGCTGACTGTCTTCTCCCAAAACATCGATTTTGCGTTTCGATGTTCCATGAGATGTGTAGTCACACTTTTCAGTCAGAAAAGACCATTTCAAAACTCAGCAATTTTATTTATACACGGTTTGTCTGGAAAGTAATGGGACTGAGTCGAATTAAAAAAACGTATTGAACCAATCGTTACAATTCAGCGCTACCCGTGATTTCCAAGCATTCATGGCGTCACGGTATTCTGCGGAATAGCCTTGAGAGCCGAAGTTCATGCTGGTTCGATTCCCTCTGTCATCTCAAAATGTAGTGTGTCCCTCAGAAGATTGCCTCCTTGTCACGGGATCATACTCAAAGATCCATAACTCGTCACCTGTGAGTACGTTATTCAAAAATTGGGGGTTACTGACACACATGTTCAACTTTGGGGAACATTTTCGGGCACACCTTGCACATATTCAAGTGCTTCGTCATAATGTCATGAACCAGAGGTTTTCATAAATTTAACATCTTTTTAATTAAACGAGTACTTAGTCGACGGTCTGGGTTCAAAACTTTGAGCACACGAGTCGGCGTTTGTCGAAGTCGCAGCTCTCCCAGCACGGTCCTTATCAGCGACCTCTTCCCGACCCTCCAAAAAGGTTTGGTGCCACTGAAACACACCGCTGAAACGCACCACTGAAACACACCACTTCTGGGTAAGCCTGCTTGATCATATCAAATGTTTCTGCTGTCGATTTACCGAGTTTATCGCGTACCTCTGCTCTAACGAAGGCTTCATTTTCGGCTTGAGAAAAATGAAAATCTTTATACACTTGCAGTATATGGGATTTGGGGGTAGTATAGACCACATTTTATTTATTTTGTTATTACCAAATACTATTAACATGCCAGGTACTAATAAAATGCTCCCTTGTCTTTGTCACCTCCCCCTCCCCCCCTATATACGTGATATAAAGATTTTCGAACTTATGGGTYACTTTATACCGTATATATCAGCCAATATTTTTCTCATAACAGTGTATATTTGTGTTTAAAATAGCTTAAATGAGCAAAAACTGGACCTAGCGCCTATATAACTAATATCAGGATTTTCGAAATAGATTAAATCGGTTCAATATTAAAGTCGGTACTTAACATAAAGTTTTGCCAACAGCTAAAGGAATTTACGTGTCTTTGATTACTTGTTTTAAATATAATATTATATATATTGAAGTAAATACAGAAAAAGGTACATCCACCAAGGCGTATTTAATACCTTCAGAATTGGTATAAGCCTGGTAATTTTCGGACTAGTTGGATTTCACTTAAGAAATRCTAGATTTAAAGCTCGGACATTTCCAGAAAAATAGATACGTGCATTTTTTGCATGAGAGTTCGTTTGAATATATCCAAATATATTTATCCATGTCAGGCAACGTGCATCTTCCTATCAAGCCTGTTGTTGTAACGGCGGTTTCACAACGCACTTGTTGACGTTAATAACAACTTGAGCTCAATTTCATATTACAGAGACCCTCAAACCATTCACATATACACATCCCACCATAAAAGCTCTTCCTAATGGGAAAAAGGCAGGCGYGTGGGCGAAGGGAAAACAGCAAAAACAAGGATTGCGAAATTTTTGTGGYTGCCACATGCATTATCTGCAGACAGCTGCTCGAGGAAATGCAAGTTGGTATCGTTTGTCTGTGGGGTTGCATATGTTTWAGTCATGCGTTTGTCTACCACTACACTGGGTACTTGAGTCAAACTTGAAGTGGCACTAATTTTGTGTTAACTCGTACTTGAGTAGCGGTCTTATGTGGACTGGAATGCAT